GCCCACATGGTCACATGACCACTAAGCCCAGCCTACCCACCTGGTCATTAGGACAGAGAACCGGTTGTTAAATTATTTGAACACCACCACTGCAGAGACAGAGATCTTCCAGTATAGACTGGTTCAAAGCTCTCAGATAATGGAACTTTTCAAAAGTTTTTTTCAAAAAAGTGTTCAGTTCCTTGTAAACCCTGGCAACCATAAAGTAAGGAGCTAAGCAGAAGATGCTTTGACTTCTGTAGTGAGAAGATTGTGGCCTTCAGTCTTAAAAAAAAACAAGGCACTTCATGAAATTGACAGTGACAGGAACAGTTACAATTCCAGGAAACAGATAAGGGGAGAAAGGATCAGTAGCAGCATAGGCTTCACCTATAGATGTACCACCATATTTTAAATTAAGAATTAGCATCAATGCCTTGCCAAATGGTTGAGGACATCTGAAGTTCATTGTACCTTCCAACTCAGTTCTATTGGCCATCACAGGCCATCAAATACCATGGGTTGTAAAACAGTGTCTAAATTTTAAAATGTAAACTCATTAAAAGTATTAAGTAGGAAAGAAAAATCCAAAAGTCGTTGAAGGGACATTTATTGCATTTTTAATTTAGCGCAAGTTATATAAGTTTTACCTTCCCGGCATAATGATGAATGCCAAAACAGAGCTCCACTCGTTTGGGCCTCCAGAAGTATTTGCATCGCAGATTATCTTCAAATTTATCTGTGAGTTTTTAAAACAAGAAAACAATATTAATGGCCCATTTTGATGGCCGCAAGGACAAATCATTTCACATTGGAAAAGAAATAATATGCTGATGATATCAACTTGGAAAACCAAATATACAGGAATGGCAAATGTAAAGGTTTACAGTAGGTTCAAAATAGAAAGTTAACTAAATTCAAGCAAGAATGGCTCCCTCATATATTACTCAGCAAGAAAAATTCAGATATTTGGAGTGAGGTTTCAAAGGGGAAAGAAACCAAAATAGATGAAAGGAATAAAATAAGTAGAAATCAGAAACAATTCTTAATGTTTAAAAGATATATATTGATTTCAGTCATCTGTCAGGGTACAATGGAAGGGAAATGTATAACTTGTAGTTTCCTAGTAGTAATGCTTTTTTTATTATTTTTTTCTTCTTTGGTATATCAACGGCCATTCTTCTTCTTTCTATGTAACCAATAGTATTTACTTTCCGAATAAGAATTACATTGTATTTAACTTTCTGAATAATAAGAACTAGAAATATTAAAAATGGCCCATTGTTTGGATTGCAAATCAATTTCTTCCTGACCATATAATCGGAACTATTTCCCCCTGAATACTAGTCGCAGTCCATATTGCTTCTTAGGTATTTTCCATGATTATTTATTTATTATTGTTGTTGTTGTTGTTATACACTTTATTCATTAAACATGAAACTCAGCCAACTGAACATTCAAAAATGCATTACAAATATTAGTGACTAGTGCTAATGGTTGATACAGTTTGCTGCCAGCGTCCTAGGGATCAACCAAGTACCTTCTTAAAATATAAGATGTTCCGAGTAGCNCTCCCTGTTACGACCGTAATACCCCGACCCTCTCCCGTCACTGCACTCCATTGGTTCTTAGTAATATATTCTTCCTCCTGCGTTCTTGCCACAGTTATATAAATTGATCACAATACCCTGTAGGATGTAGGAATAAAATTTGACCCACTGTTTCTATTTTTTGACGCGCACAATGGGAAGCATTTTGATGACTAGAACACTACTGACCTTCCCCTCCGGTAGAATCCAAGATCAAAGGATTGAAGAACAATAATAAATAAGTGTATGTTTGATTTACACCTGTAAGGATAAATGGCTGACCATTTGCAAGCCTCTTTTATCTAAACTCTTTTCAGGAGAAAAGGCACATTCTGATCGGTCATATATCTGATCTCTGTCCTCTGATGATTATCCCAGCTCTGTATAGGCGAAATGAAATCGAAACCTTGAAAGAAAATGGCAGTTGTCTATTTCTCCCTCCACCACCCCCCCCAGGATAAATTAAAACCACCACAGAGGTTAGAAATGCCAGGGATTGGTTGAAAAAAAAAACTTAGTTTATGTCAGTAACTTAAAGAATATAGGTAGTTTTCTGATCTCAGTGGATGGCATTCCCAAGTTCATGGAGGTTTGAAATACAACAGGGTATGTAAAATTTCTTGTGTAAATATGGGCTGGACAGTTTGCCTAACCAAATAAACACATTTGTAAAGAGGAAAAATGTTTGGCACTAAATACCTTGGTGGGAGGGCAACTAGAATGCAATAGCTACTTATTGTTCAGGGAAAGCGTTATACCTGCGTTTCTGTGGCAGCTTTAACTTGCATTTCACCTTTTTGGAATATACGTTTCTTTGGTCTGCCAGGTTTATCAGTGGAATTGCATCATCTGGATACAGGAGTGTGCCTAGCTCACTTAAACATTCTTTTTTTGTCAGTGTTATTTGTATAAAAAAATTAAACAGAAGAGAAGTTAATGCATAGCCTTGCTTAACCTTTCGGAGTTGAGATCTGATTAGATAATTTACATAATATCTAAAGTGCCTGGAGATATTTTTGTACAACATCTTAATCCATAGCAACTGTCATGCTGCACCAAGACTGTTATCTGAACTGGAAGACTCGTAGGCAAGAGAATCAAGGATATGCAGCTCTTTAATAAGCCAATTTATTATTACAGATAACAAAGAAGCCCCAATAAAGCAGAAAAGCAGCAACTGTAAGCTTTGTCAGTCTTAAAATTCAAATATTCTCTCCTGTGTATCCTAAGAGACCGAGAGAGGGTGACTTGCCAGTGGGAGGGGCAGATGGTTAATTGGTTAATTGGTTGAAGAGCCGAGGTGGTGCAGTGGTTAGGGTGCAGTACTGCAGGCCACTCTAGCTGACTGTTATCTGCAGTTCAGCGGTTCAAATCTCACCGGCTCAAGGTTGACTCAGCCTTCCATCCTTCCGAGGTGGGTGAAATGAGGACCCNTTACTGAATTTTCTTGACATTAATAAATTATGTGGGGGGGGGGATCATTTGTCCTTGTGAGAATAAAAGTCTCTATTTTAGATTTTTCATTTATTTTACAAATTGAAAATTTCTCTACCCAAATTATAGAAGCCATTAAGCACTCTTTACTCCGTAACCGGTCAACTTTACAAAATGCATTGAAAGCCAGACTCTTAAGAGACCTTATGAAATTTAAGACTTGCCGTTTCTTTGGAAGCTTAATGAAGATTTTAATTTACAGCATATATGGTCAGAATTAGTTTTGCAGAACTTATCACGATTATAGATGCATTTATTTTCATGGATTATATATGTGTGCTTTTAACTGCATAGTCTTTCATATGTATATGGAGCCATCTGGAAGGTGGAGGTAAGGAGCAGCCCATCTCCTACTTCTTTCTGTTAATAGGCAGTAAAATAAATAGGTGGCATCTTTTATTTTGTCCCCCATTTTTAAGACGAGACTGGACAGCCACTTGTCTGAAATGGTATATATGACAATGATGGCAACCTTTTTCTCCTCACATGCCAAAATAGTGCACACATGCGCAACAGTACATGTGCGCACACCCATAATGCAATGTGGGCACCCCCACGCCATGTTTTTGGTCCCAGGAGGCTTCTGGGAGGCCTGCTAGGCCCAAAACAGGGTGCGGGGTGCGTGGTGTGTGCGCCTCCCATGGGCTGTTTGGGGCCTAGCAGGCCTCCCTGAAGCCACCTGGGCAAAAACAGGATGGGGGGATGCACCACTCCGCTGTTCTCCCGTTACCCCCACACACGCGACAAATATGCCGATCCTCGCATATTCTAAAAATCTCCACATTCTAAGTTTCTTGCCTTGCAAAGTGTGAAAGAGAAGCAGGAGACTTTCAACCTACTGATGTCACATCAAGATGCTCATGATAAAAATCATTGCATACTATCAACTGATCAGTAGGATGATGTCATATTAATAGTGTCCAAATTATTTTTTAAAAAACAAATTCCTGACTCAGGAAGAAAAAAAAAATCATGGAAATGTATGACTGTAATAAATTTCCCTCAACCGAGAAAACAAATGATTCGAATGACGATCAAGTGACAACGTTTTTAAGTAGCCTAAATCCTAGTTGCTGTATCAGTTCAATAATATTGTCTTGTTAGAAAAGCTACAGAAAATGGACTAAAAAAAATCCCCTACAAGGAATTTATGTGTGTGTGTGTGTGTGTGTTTTATTTGTGNCATTGACTGGTGCTAATGGTTGATACGGTTTGCTGCCAGCGTCCTAGGTATCAACCAAGTATCTTCTTAAAATATAAGACGTTGTAAGTAGCGCAGTTTTTTTGGAGTTCCGCTGATGTTATCGCAGAAAGCTGCGATTTGTTGATGTATCATAAAATTCTTGGACATGGTGCCAAGTGCCCCGATGACAATGAGTTTCACTGTTACATGCTTCATCCATAGCCGTGTAGTTTCGATGGCCAGGTCGTGATATTTCATTATTTTTTCTAATTCTTTTTCTTCAACTCTGGCATCTCCAGGAACAGCGATATCAATAAACTGTACACTTTTGTTATATTGTACTATATAAATTAATTTGATTCTTTTTGTTAGTTTTTATTGTTTTAAATGTGGTTTCCTAGACAATTTCTTCAATCATTAGACCAACCCGGGTTATATACAAAGTGGATCTATCTCATGAGGTTTATTCTGCATAACCAAAATTTTGTTATATATAGCGATAACAAGCTGTGGAAGACTTTGTGTTGACATGGTGAAGGTGGCTTATATCGATAGCACAAATCTTTCTTACACTGTATTATAAATTTCCTTCCAGTCATTTGCCATAATAGCTATGTGGGTAATTCCATTTTTTCATTACTGAATTGCTGTAACACCCTGTACTGAATTCTAGTGAAAACAATTATGTTTTATTGAAGCCACCGCCATCAGTGCTAATATGCAATTAATTTAAACATTTCAATCTGTGCACATCAAACATTCAAATGATGAGTTTAGACACTGATAGGAGGGAGTCTAGCAATGGCATATTGCCCAATGAATTATTTTGTTCACTTTTTTCACTGGTTTTTCTTCCATTCTCAAATATCTGGTAGTAGTGTGGGCCCACAGAACATGTGGTGTCTTCCTCAGGCTGTGTAAGAAGAGAGATTCTCTTCCCCGCCTCCTCTCCAATTTGAATTTTCAATTTCAGCTATACTGAAATAATTACTCTTCTCCCTTTTAAAACAACACTTCAGTCTGTATCTGGTTATGTTGTGGACATAATCATTCCATTTTCATTCGTACCCCAAAATCATGGACTCAACCCCCCTTGTATCTCATTAGGCTTCTATTGAGAGTTTCCTGAATCTAGTTCTAAAAAATCCTAAAGACTTGAAAGTCATTTGCAAAGCTTGGGGTTGTTCTGAATCTTTTGATATTTGTTGCTTATGTAGGGACAAAATAATTTCAGTCCAACAATCCAAAAATCGAAAATTTGAGCTGAGATAAATAGAAGGTCATCTTCGCATCTTGTGGCTTCCATGAACCAAACTCAAGGGCAGATAGTCTTCAATTTACGACTACAATTGAACGCAAAATTTCTGTTGCCAAACAAGACAATTATTAAGTGAGTTTTATCCCATTTTGCAATCTTGCCACAGTTGTTAAATAAATACCACCACAGTTGTTAAGTTACTAACAAGCTTGTAAAACAAATCTTGACTTTGTTTGTTAACTTTGAATGGTTATTAAATTAGAAGTTATTAAAAAATCTGAATTGCTGGAATAGTACTCTAAAATCTGCAATTCTTTTTTCTGTATGCGTGTAGACTCCTACATTTATAATCCTTGCTATTCAGATTGCTTCTGCTTTTGGTTTACACCAGTAGAAATTTGCCCTGGAAAGTCTTAGAAACAAATCAACAAGCAAATAAAATATTGCATGGCCAGAAAAAAAAAAAATCAAATAATAATTACCTGGTGCGGGTTTGATTTAATGGCATCATCAAATTTCCCAGTTTGCTTATGAGTTTGCTGAACACATTAATCTATTACATAATTCTAGGCAGGAATTATTATTCATTGTTTACTCATTATTTTTACTGTGATGCTTTGTCAAAAATTAGCAGAAATGTAAAATCACAATGAAAGTCATATGATGATATCAAATAGCAAATATTCAGGATAGAAATTCCATTCTTCTTCACAAAAGATACAAAGATTATTTGCTAATAAAATTATGAAAATTGTGGAGAAGAAAGAACAGTTCTGTTGCCAAGAATCAGAGAATATGATTATTAAACTGTATCAGAATGAACCTGATACAAAAGCAAAACAGTAAATCCAATAATCATTTGTACAAGCTTATTTGGATCAGGAAGATAGCTACGGATGCAAAAGTCTTGGCATTCTCATCACTGGATGCTGCTAATACAATGTTCCATAGATCATGGTTACTGAATTTTCTTGACATTAATAAATTATGGGGGGGGGGGATCATTTGTCCTTGTGAGAATAAAACCACACACATATATATATATATATATATGTGTGT